TAACTTCTCTCAGCAATACTGTTTTTGTTTTCTTCTACATACTGATCTGCTGTATCTGATCAGAGGCAAATGTGAACAGACCACAGGGTAACTCGTTACTCAGCTGAAGATCAGCTCAGCTGCCTGCTTTGAACCTGATGCAGGGTTTCCCAAATGTTTAGATTCATTTCTTCATGTTCAATGAAGAAAGAAGCCAGCTTGCACACTTTCTCCTCCACCTTGTAAGACAGCAGCTCATCATGCTTTGTTTTCAGAGCAGGTGGTTGGTCATCCACCTCAAAGCTTAACTCGGGACCACCCGGTTTGCGTCACAAGCCTGTTGTTGTTGCATATTGCTGAATTTCATTGACATTCTGTGGTCTCTGGTTGCTGGTGTCTTCCTGTGTGTACGCCGCTTTAGATTGCAGCTGGCGAAGAAGGTAGTGTTCTGCTCTGCAGCCCCAGCTAGCTAAGCCCAGGTTCACATGACTCCCCGGGGTCAGGCTGGACCTCTGCCTCTGATGGAACCACCAGGAGAGCAAAAGGCCTAACCTCGCCAGCTGCAGTGAAGGCGGTGGAGCTCGATGATATCGAGGACCGCCACTGCACCAACCCGACAGAAACTCAACAGTCAGGGCTGAGGCTGGCTGGTTAGCAGAGATCGAGGAGATTAACTGTTCAGAGAAACATTCTCAAGATAGTCAAGTGACCAGAAAAAAACTGCAGCTGTCATCACATGTGGCTGTGCAGCAGAAAAATGTGGAGCAAAGGTGCTGAGAGGGAGTGCAGTAAAGAAAAAACTGGAGCACGAGCCAAGGTTAGCAGAGCTGCACGAGCATCTCACATTATCACAGTCTCTTAGAATAAATGCATGAGCTCTCTTAGACAAAGCTGTGCCTGTGAAAATAAAAGAGTCTTTATTTATTTTTTATGCCATGAGGATGTAGGTGCTGCTCCTCGGAGCTTCACAGTTCTCCAACCGCGACTCTGAGGAAAGATTTCGCAAGCAGCTGAAAACTACCTGTGCTCTAGTTGAGCTCCAGTTTGATTAAACTTTAGTTTGTGCTTCAGTGATCTCCTAAACCGTTGTCAGTGTTTGGCCGTTGGAGGCGCGGGGGTGGGATAACAATGTCTCCGCTGTGATGCAGTGTGTTAAATTCACTGTACACAGTTTAATCTCAGCAGGTAAACTCGACACAGCGATCGTTCTTTTACCTTTTGAGTTTGTGAAAGGATGGATTTATAGGTCGGTCATGGCTAAAAAAAGGAAACCCCATAATGCAAATGAAGTCGTCAGTTGTTTGTGACCACCCTCCCACTGCGACTACAACACCCAGACTTTCCACTGTGCCATTTCAGTATCAATCTCAGAGGCGCAGACCGCCTACCGCCAACGTTAAATTTACCTCCAACTGCAAAGTGTCGACTTCCATCGTTGTTTTTGCCGATGGCGTTAATTTTCCGACAAATTGAATTTTTGC